TGGGTCTGACATCCTCACTTGTCGCCATAGGCAAGCTCCTTGACCACTCTGCCTTAATTTTACTGCTTGTGAAATGGGCATGGTAGAATCAAGAAGGATGTTGAATTAGGAACCAGAAGAGGTGGAATTAGGAAAAAAAAGTGCAACAGCCCACCTTTCACTGTGGCTAAGTACATTTTAACTGAAAACTCGCTGTACCCAAAGAGGTCCATTTCCATTGAGTTCAGATGGACCTTGAGAGATCGTTCTAGTGGGGCTTGACCCGTCTGTAAAATGAAGGTGTCTTAACATGTGAAGCTGTTGAGGCATTTAGAATGTGCATGGCTTATTTTGAAGTCTGCAGTGAATGAGAACCGTCACAGGACAGAGGCTTTTAGGGCCATGGGATCGAGATGCTTTTCTTCTGAATTTGTTAGTGGCCGTCTTTCCCTGTCGGAGTGGCAAATGCAGTCATCAGAGGAACTAGGAGACTCGCCACCTCCTCCTCCCTTGATCTTAAGACTCAAGAGTAACAGGCCTCCGGGGGAGGCTGCAGTGTGTCCTCAGCACCTACAGCCAGACCACTGAAGACCAGACTGCGTGTTCCCCACGAACGCCTTGCTGTTTGTTTCCAGAACTTTCCATCCCAGTCTGTATAACCCAGGGGCTTGTAAACTCAGATTCCCCCGCTGGGTGGAGACGGAGCTCGCTGGGGAGCCCTTGTGCCTGTGTGTCCGAGGCCCTGGCTGCTCCCTCCAGCTCATTGGGCCCAGTGGCTTTGGGGCCCTGTGTTGCTAGATCTTCCTGTGTTTCAGGAGAGCCTGATGCCTGAATATTTCTGTGAAAGTTCCCATCTTCTAAATGGTGGCTACTGGCTCTACCTGTGTGGGTGGGCTATGACCTGCAGGCTGCCCATTACCTGCCGGTTACCCCACCCTGGGGCTGGGACTGAGACTTAGGAGTGTAGTATGTTGTGTTAGCTGCCTTGAGTCACCCCCTGACTTAGGGTGACCCCATGCACGATGGGATGGGACTGTTGTGATCCATAGGGTTTTCGCTGGCTGTGATTTTTTGGAAGTAGATCACCAGGCATTGCTTCTTCATCTGTCTTAGTCTGGAAGCTCTGCTGAAGTTTGTTCGGCATCGTAGCAACATGAAAGCCTCCACTGACAGACGGGTGGTGGCTGCATATCCGGTACATTGGTCGGGAATCCAACCTAAGTCTCCTGCATGGAAGGGGAGAATTCTACCCTTGAACCACCACTGCCCCCAGGAGTGTAATATATGTATGGCTAATGGCTGGAACGTTGTTGTATGGTCAGGACCTGCCAGATGACCCTTTTAAGGGTTGTCTGAGAGCTGGAGGTCAGAGGACTCAGCTGGAAAACCAGCCCCTAACCAGCTGGCCTTGTTCTTGGGTCCTCCTGAACCCTGGAGACTCCAGAACCTGTAGGTGAGGGATTCCTAAGTTCTGCATCTGTGGCCCTGAGGACATGAGTGAAAATGACACCTGGGACGACCATCGAGCCCTGGAGCAGGGCATAGAGAGCCACAGGCACAGAAGGGCCGGGACAGGTCAGGGAGCGGGGGTGGCGAATTTGGTAAAAACAAGACTGGTTCTTGCCTTACTGAGTGTCTGAGGATTGGGTTTGTTCTCGTTTTTTGTCTTTGCTGTCCCAGAGCCTGAGCACCTTGGTGAAGGAAGGTGGGTTAGGAGAGCGTAGGGTACAGCCTGGACACCCAGACGCCATCCTCCTCTGTTACGTGGAACTGGCTAGTACTTGTGACCGGTGATGCCAGGAGCCCAGGGTGGGGTAACAGGCCTGCTAGGAGGAGAGGACGGTGATCAGTGGAAGCCCTGAGTGTGGCCACGCAGAGTCGGAACCTGGTCCCAACTAGGGGCTGCCTTCTGAGGAGCCTGGTGCCAGGAAGAGGACAGTCTAATCAGATGTGTGTGTTTCACGCATTGCCAACTTTGGGGTGAGTTCTCGTTGCCTACAAAGCACTGCGATTACTCAGACCACCAGATAGATGGTACAGGAATTTTTGCCACAGGGAGTTCAGGGTGGTCCCACGGAGCCAGGTGTGGGGCTTTAGATTCCAGAGGAAGATTATCGAAGAGAGAAACTCTTTGGAGACCTCAGTCATGTTTAGGAGTGAATAGGGTTCCTGAGGTCCAGAAGTTTGAGATCTACCACTCCAGGCTGTACCGCCTTGTATGTAACATCTTGCGTGGAACTCGGGGGTCCCCTGGCCTGGGGAATGAATCGCGGCTCTGCTTGGGGCTCTCCTGATGCAGTGTTTGAGCGCCAGTCCTGAGCCTGCGAGGAGCATTTGCAGATGGAACTGCTGACGGTGCCGTTTGTGTGTGCCTGGGCAGCTGCCCATCTTGGCTCAGGAGTATCTGCTGCGCCCAGCCCTGACTGCAGGGGTGGACACCCTGTTCTGTGGTGGGCCCCTCCCCGAGCAGAGCCATCTGGGCACTGGAGGCCTTGGTGATAGTCGCCAGCCCTTGCTGAGCATCTTCTCTGGGCCAGGCCTGGTGCTAAGCCAGCGCTTTGTCTGCTCTAGAAGTTCCTGGGTGGTGCCAGTGGTTAACATGCTTGGCTGCTCACTGAAAGGTTGGTGGTTCCAGTCCACCCAGAGCTGCCTTGGAAGAAAGGCTTGGCGATCTACTTCCAGAACATCAGCCATTGAAAACCCTGTGGAGCACAGTTCTACTCTGACACGCATGGGGTCTCCACGTGTGGGAGTACACTCAATGGCCATTGATTTTTTTTGCCTGTATTACCTTGTTGAATGCTCACACCTACCCTGTGAAGGAGGTGCTATTGTTATACCCATTTTACAGATGAAGAGCCTGGGGCCTCAGGGAGGTTTAGTAACTTGTGTGAGGCCACCCAGCTGGTTAGTAGCAGGGCGGGACTCAGACCTGGCGCCCAAGCACCTGCCGTGTTGCAGGAACCTGCAGGGTGTTGGTCTTGTCATCCTGCTTATCTTGCTTGTCCTGCTGGAGCAGACTCTGGTTCGCAGTGAGATGTCACAAGAAACAAAACAAAGCAACTCATTGCCGTAGAGTTGATTCCAACTTGGAGGGACAGAGTAGAGCTGCTCCGTAGGGCTTTCTTGGCTGCAGTCTTTATGGAAGCAGATCACCAGACCTGTCTTCCACAGCACCACTGGGTGAGTTTGAACTGCCAATCTTTAGGTTAGTAGTTGAGTGCAAACCATTTGCGCCACGCAGGGACTGCTAGTGTGATAGCAGTGAGCCTAGAACAGGACTTGTTAACTAGGACTTAGAAAAGAGAGAGAGGTTCTTCCTTGTTGCTTTATCCCCTCTTCCCCCACCCCCCGAGTTCTCCTCCATCCCGGGGTGTTTGTGTCTGCTCTTCCCCTGCCCCACCATTTAGACCAAGGGTGTTTGGGAAAACAGGGTGAGTGAGATGTGGACAGAGTGCAGGTCTGAGTTTCGGCTCTGCCGTTTGCTGGCTGTGACTTACCTGCCCTCTCAGAGCCCCCTCTGAAAATGGGGCAGCTCGGCTTAGGAGAGGCAGTGTTTGTAAAGCGCGCATTGGCAGGCCTCAGGATCCAGCGGCCTCCTCGTTACGCGACCAGCAGAGTGCCGCCTCTCAGGATCTGGCCCTGGACCAGCTGCATTTCCGGGAGGGACTCTGGGTTCCTGGGTCCCACTGTGGCCTGTCACCACCGAGCTCTGCAGGTGGGACCAGAGCACCTGCATTTTCAGGCGCTTCCTTCGGGATGCAGGTACACACTGAAGCTGGAGAGTCCCTTCCCAGGGAGGGGCTGAGGCTGTATTCAGCTCACGCTAGATAAATGGGGGTGAAGACTGCTTGGGTGGCCCTTCATCCGTAGGGCAACCATGTAGGTTGTTTCCTAAACCAGGACACTTTTGAGCATGAAGGGACACCATTAGTAACTGTGCTGCGGCACAAGGAGTGAACCAGGACCATCGTGACAAATGGCAGCATGTGGTTGGGTTCGTCAGTTTCTCCTTTCATCTTCCTGGTGACCCCAGGAGATGCCATTCCTTTCTTGGTACAGATGGGGAAAGCGAGACCTGGAGAAGGCTGCTTCTGTCCCCACAGCTGTGAGCCTTGGTTCCACACGCCTCCCTCTGGGCATAGTTGTCACTGTTGGCTTGCTGCAGCTGGGCACCAGTGCCGGAGGGCTGTGGGGCTCTGGATTCTGTAGTGCTGGAACCTTCAAAACTAACATAACCTGTGCAATCAGAAAAAGGCAACTTTAAAGTTATGTAATGCAAATCTAGAGAAGACAGAAATGAGAAAACAGAAGCTAGATAAAAATGAAGGATCCCGTTAGCAGAAGGGAAGTGGCACTGGGCATGTTTGTCTTCTCAGTCCCTCAGGTGTGTCTCCCTCCTGGGGCCTGGCTGTGACCCCTCTGTCACGGATGATTGATGTCCCTCGGGGCCGAGTGACAGGGCTCCCCTGTCAAAGCAGACGTCCCATTTGGGTCAGTCGATTTCCTTCCTCATTGTCTGAGAGGCCAATTGGGTGATTTTTTTTTTTCTGCTCCAGTGAGGACATGCATGTGACAGGCCGTGTTCGTGGCACGTGGTGAGGACTGCCATTGCAGAGGACGTGGAGGGAGACCTGAGGCTGTGGGCACACTAATTATAACAAGGAGTGACATGTTGGAGCCTGCGGGTACTGGAGCCATGGAGCCCGCTGTGCTTCTGCTGGAACAGAAATAGATGCTGCCTGAGGGCATGGTGGCCTTGTGCTCGCAGGCAGCCTCGGGACACGTTTAGTCTCTGTCCCTGCTGCCTGGCTCTGTTTATTCTCTGCTTTTTCCTCTCTGCTCCTTGGGAAGCCTCACCCACCACCGTGAGGAACCACGGTCTCCCTTCTTCGGCTGCTGAGAACTTTCACATATCCAGTCATTCATGGTTTAGGTGGGTGGGGAAGCTCCTTTGTCACCCCAGGGAAGGGGGTGGGCAAAATGACAGGACCCTGCCCTCCTGGAGCCTCCCTGAGGTGTGGTATCATGGTAGGGAAACTACAGCTTGCGTTTGACAGACCACAGAATGTGGCTCGTGGGTCCCTTCCCCGTGAGCGGCCCCGTCCTCACATGGCTGCCTTCTGTGTTCACAGGGAAGATGGAGACACTGAAAGACAAGACCGTGGAGGAGCTGGAGCAGATGCAGAATGACCTGGAGGCCATTGATCGGCTGGCCCTGGAGTCCCCTGAGGTAGAGCAACCCGAAAAAGGCCAGCAGATGGACTGAGGCCCCTTATAATGTCACTGACTTGTTAGGTGTTTGGGACAAATTGACCGCCCTTCTCTGTGCCCTCACCCTGGCTCCTGGGCCGTCTGGGCCTTGGCCCTGTGTAGGGGGCTCAGGGCCTCTGTGATTCAGGCTCCTGGAGCCTCCGGAGACCCAGGTATCCAAGGAGCCCCCGCATTGTTGCTCCAGCCTGGCTCTGGAGACAGCTTCCGAAAGCACTGGGGGCCGTTCGGTACCCCCCTTCCCCCAAGGGCCGTGTCTGGCCCCGTGTCATCCGTGATTCGAAGACTTCACAGAACCGCTCCTGGGTGGGACGCAGGCTCCCCTCCTGTTAATCCGTTTCCGTTGGTACTTGGCACCTTATCCTCTCAGCTCCTTGTCACAGAGTCCTCGTGGAAATAGAGGATCCTCTGTCTGTACGGAGCTTTACGCTTTATTTCCTGGGGCCCTGTGACTCCCCTGCGGGTAGGAGAGGTCAGGTGACTGCTGTGGTCACGTAGCCGGGAACGTTCACTGTCACACCTCGAGCAGCTGCCACCTGTCCAGGGCCCTTAACATTAGGGAGTCACGAGAACTGGAAACGTCCACTGTCACACATCAAGTGGCTGCTGCCTGTGCAGGGCCCCTAATGTTAGGGGCACGCGAGCACAGCCAGTCCCCGGATCCTTTGATTAGCATTTGGAATGTGTCCCCACCCCCCGCAGCGGATGAACAGGTATGTTCTGTGAATCCACAGTATGTTAAAAAAAGCAAAACAAAATCCTGAAGCTCCCTCATCCAGCTTTCCCCCACCCCTCTCTGTGAGGAGGAGCACCCCCTTTCTGTAAGGAGAGCATAGTGTGCCTGTGATTTCATGCCCGTCCACGCACTTGAGTGCCCGTACTCTGTCTGCCCCTCGCCTGCCCTCTGCCCAGTGAGACATCTTTGCTGGGGTTGGATGTGGCCGAAGAGACGCCCTGTAGGGGGAGAGCTATGAGGAGAGCGAGGGGCTCCATGGGAGTGCCCTGCCGCCCTAAGCCTTCACCTCCAGACTCAGCCGAGCTGTCTCACTGGCCTCAGAGCAGAGCTTGTCTTGGTTAAGCCCCAGGGCCGATCCGGATGGTGAACTGGGCTGTGAGCTCTGCGAGGTCTTGCCCTTAGCAGGCACAGTGCCAGGCACGGCATAGGTCTTCCTTCTCTCACCTTCCGCTCGTTTGTCTATAGTGACCACAGAGTGCGTCTTGAGTCGGCCGAGAGCGCAGTGTCCTGGGAATCCCAAGGCCTGCTTCTAAAATGCACAGGACTTCTTAGAAGCAAGCCTTTACGTAATGGCAGTGAGCTCACTTCCAAGCTGACCAGGCCGTTGAAATCCTTGACAAAGCGTGGAATCACGGGAATTGTCAGCAGAAACCACCTCTTGGGTGAAAGGCAACTTGAATTTTGTGCTGTGCAGCCGTGCCTGAGCAGTCAGTCTGAATTCTCTGAGGGAGAAGCTACTCATGTGCTTCAAAGGAGAACAGAGTAGGCCAAGCTGCTTAGACTCTCAAAGAACCTTTGGCTAGGTTTCCTCCCATGAGGTACTGGAGACTGTGAGAAGAGGTGGCGCTGGCTTGGTTGGGAGTGGACTCTGCTTGGAGAAGGGAGTTAGTGGGGCTATTTCTCTGTGTAGGAGAGAGTGAACACAGGGTGGGAGGAGCCAGGGCGACCAGCTCTTTTGGGCTGGGTGCTAGGCCTGGTCCTATTGGCCTCTCATAAATGAGGTCTTCATCGGGCACTCCCAGTGGAGGTGAACCATGGGAAAATTTGGGGAGACTGTGTGGGAGATGGGCAGAAATTGGTAGGATGAGTTCTAGGGGAAAATGACGCAGTGTAGTTACTGGTTAAGACCCTGGGCAAAGGCAGTGGGTGTATTTGAAGGCCAGAGGATCTGTGGGCCCCTCAAAGGATGCCTGGGCAGGGGGCCCTCAGCCTCCCCATCCTGCATTGGCCCCATGGGTAGAGCAGAGCTTCCTTGGTTAATAGGAATCAGGCTGAAAATCATCAGTGTGGATGTCCCTGAGACAGTGTGCTTGCTGAGTGACCACAGGAGGGGTTTGTGGAAGCAGACAGAAAGCCCAGGTGTGGGAAACAGGCTCTAAACCAGGCAGACTCGGGAGGCTGTGGCTGGGCCCTGTGATCCCTGAGCCCCCTGGCCTCTTCTGGAGGGGCCTATAGCTGTGGCACTCCTCTTTCCAGTCTGGGGCACAAAGAGAAGGCCCCAGACCTGCCCCTTAGGCCCTATGATAGGAGGCAGCAAGAGTGGCCTCCCTGGATGTCACCCTTTTCCAGGATGCCCACAGGCTTCCTGTGTCTGGTAGGGGCCTGAGTTGGTCATGGCGGAGAAGCTGCCTGGTGCAGGGCCACCAGCTCCCACGTGTGCCCCGAGCCTGTTGCGGCCTGCGTCCTCTGCATTGGTGCCATTATGGTATTGTCGGTGTATTGTCCCTGCTGTCTCAGGCATGGTGGCTGTGACTCTGCAGCCCTTTCCTCTCAGCAGAGAGGACTCCCCAGCGATGGCTGGGCTGCAGGTCCTTGCGTGGCTGGGGAGGGTTCCAGTAGCTGCTGCCTCACCAGCTGGTGGCAACAAAAACCTTAGTGGAGGGGACAGAGTACCGCTCGGCTTGGGGAAGAGTTTTAGCAGGGCACGTCCAAGTCACAAAGGTTGGCGCTGGGGCCTCAGGTCGCCACCTCCTGGGTTGGTGGGCTCTTCTGCTGGCCCTTGTGGGCGTGGGGAATCACTGCCAGCTCTTGGTGGCCACTCTTAGCTCATCTGCACAGCCCCTCTGCAGAGCACACCTGTGGCCTCAGTGCCAGGCGCAATTCTCTCCTGAATCAGGGGCCGCAGTCTGCTCCAGGGTGCTGGCGCTCTCACCGCTCCGAGTAACTTGATTTGGGGGCCTCATTGTGTGTCTGGCCTGTGGGTCTGACCTGGGCTACCGCAGTCCACCTCAGTAGGTCTCTTGACTCTGAAGCGTGGGGATAAGTGGCTGGGACTTGTGGTCCCTTCCCTTCTAGAAAGCTCTGGCTTTCTCACATAAAGCGGTCCACCCCTTCCTGAGCTCTGCACAACCCACGGCAGGCCTGGCGCTTGCTCATCACTTGACCGTGGGCACATTCTTAACCTTGAGTGTCAGTTTCCCATGGGGACAGTGGTGTCCACCCCATAGGCTGTGGAAGGGGTGAGGGAGTGAGGGCCTGGGGCAGGTGCTCTGCTCAAGGCTCAAAGCCAGGTCTGTCTGACTGGAGTGGATCCCCAAGGTGAGCGATTCGTCCTAGAAGCCCCTGGTCCAGCCCGCGGGGAGGTTAGTGGTGGTGGTTATCATTCTCACGGTCGGGTGGCCTGCTTTCTAGGTCCAGGACCTGCAGCTGGAGCGGGAGATGGCACTGGCCACCAACCGGAGCCTGGCCGAGCAGAACCTGGAGTTCCAGGGTCCCCTGGAGATCAGCCGCTCAAACCTCTCAGACAAGTACCAGGAGCTCCGGAGCCTCATGGAGCGGTGCCAGGAGCAGAAGGCAAAACTGGGTAGGGATGGTGGCCCCGAGGGTGTGCTCTGAGGTGCTCTGGCCAAGGTCGGAATGGGGAGAGCTGCGGGAATAGCGTGCAAGATAGGACCTCCCCACTCCCCGCCCAGTGCAGAGCATTTACTGAGGGTGCCATGCTCCGAGCCCTGTGCTGAGTGCTTTACGTACATGTGCTCATAACAGCCGTGTGTGGGTAGGTCTCATTGTTACTCTCATTTTATAGGTGAGAGAAATGAGGCTCAGAGATTCAAGGACTTGCCCAAGGTGACGCAGCTAGAAGTAGGTACAGTTGGGATTTGAATTCAGAGCCTGCAGTCAACTTAGATAGCTCAGCTTCTACCCTTTACAGAGCCAATCCAGGTCTTCTGCATCCTGGGACCTGGTATCTGTGAAGGGGGGGGGAAGGGGACGGGCATCTTGGTCTTGACAGGTGAGGTGGCTTGACAAGTAAATTTCCCCGTGGTGCAGAGCAGGATTGGGATGGGGTAGGTTGGGCTCTGAAGCCTGAGTCTTCGCTTTCTGGGCTGGGCAGGGGAGATGGTTAGCCAGGCTGTGGGCTGGGCAGGGGAGGTGGTTAGCCAGGGTGTGGGCTGGGCAGGGGAGATGGTTAGCCAGGCTGTGGGCTGGGCAGGGGAGATGGTTAGCCAGGGTGTGGGCTGGGCAGAGGAGATGGCTAGCCAGGGTGTGGACTGGGCAGGGGAGATGGTTAGCCAAGGTGTGGGCTGGGCAGGGGAGATGGTTAGCCAGGGTCCAGGCTAAGGTGGAGGGAGATGGTTAGCCAGGGTGCAGGTTGAGCTGGCCAGGCTCCCTGCACAGGAGAGTGATATCAGGGAGCTGGGCTGAAAGGGCTCACTGGGCCTACCTGACGGGGCTCCGCAGTAGACCCCAGGCCTGGGCCTTCATGCACACAGAGGACATTCTGAGCCTTTTCTGGAATCTCAGCTGTCACCACTGAGAATTGGGGTATACTTTTGAAATGTCAACATTTCTGCCCTCCCTTCCAGAAAAATTTTCCTCAGCGCTGCAGCCAGAAACCTTGTTAGACCTTCTACAAGTCGAAGGCGTGAAAATTGAAGAAGAGTCTGAGGTGAGATGGAGAATTGATGCCCCTTCTTCCTTAAATGGGGTGTCAGCTGCTGGCTTACCAAGTGTAGGCAAAGTATGGGCCAGCAGAGCTTTTAGGAGATAGGAAAGATGAATGATGTCTTCAGACTCAGTGGAGGCTCTTCAGGATGTAAATAACAGAAACGGGATGGAAGAGCTGGGCAGCAGGAGCCCCCAGGGGTGGAGACCAGTCCTCCAGCCCCTCCTTACCCCCGCTGCCTGTCCTGTCTGCTCTGTCTCCCTTGGGCGTCCTTCAGTCTCTGTGGCAGGATGGCTCTCTCCGCTTCTTGAGCCCTGAGAGGAAGATGCTCCCAAGCCCTCCCAGGCTGTGTGCTAATGTGTACTGCCGACTGCGCGGCTAGCCCTCATCCAGTTATTCAATACGTAGGTGCAGCGTCCACTGTGGGCCTAGCCCAGTGCCAGGTGTAGGGACAGAGTGGTGACCCCAACAGAGACAGTCCTGCCCACAGGGAGCTGCCACTTGAGTGAGGGAGACATAATAAACAAACATGCATGTATGACATCCCAGGCAGTGACAGGAGCTGTGGGCAGTAAGGACCAGCATGCAGCCAATCCCCCAAATGTGGGGATGGACCCAGTCCTCACATTCCCACTTCTCTATCCTTGTCACCAGCCCTGCTCTGTCCCTGACCCTAGCCTCCTGGAGCAGGGTCGGAACTCACAAGTTAAAAGTACACCATCCTTTAGACTGCCAAATAGGCACATGCCACCTGCAAGTTTGGGAAGTTCACACGACACTCTTACTTTCTGACCTGCTGGCTCCCACTGCTCCTTTGGGTTTGATAATTCAGTGGAATGACTCGCAGAGAGTAGGGCATACTTATGACTACAGATTTATTATAGTCACAAAGTATACAAATGAAGACACGCATAGGGCAAGGTCTGGGAGGGTTCCTAATGGGAAGCTTCCATGTTCTAAGGGATGCGCTACCCTCCCAAGAGCGAGTGTTCTCTTCAACCAGGAAGCTCTCTAAGCCTTAGTGTTCAAGACTTTCTTTGGCCAGTCTTGCATCATAGACTAAATCAGGCCTCCTGAGGCTAGTTGATGCTGGCCTTTCACGTGAGTCTTTTCTGCTCTGGTCAGCCCCCACTCGCCAGCACAGATCCTCAGGTGTGACCTGGAAGTCCCAGGCCAAGGCATCTCAACTCTTCCAAGGGTTATTTATCCAGAACCAAGGACAAAGGCCACTTTACTTAGGGTAAACTAGGTCCTTTACTCCACGGAATGTAAAGAAAAATTCCTAGTTGGGGCCAGAGAAGGGTGGGAGCAGTATGCAAGGGGCCTGGGGTGGGAGGTCTATAGCTCATCTCTGCCCCCAGGGCAAGCGGGAGACTCATTCCGGGTGGGCCCTGTGGTCACCAGACCTTCTGTCTCCCAGGCCATGGCTGAGAAGTTCCTGGAGGGCGAGGTGCCCTTGGAGACGTTTCTGGAGAACTTTTCCTCTATGAGGATGCTGTCCCATCTGCGCCGGGTTCGGGTGGAGAAGCTCCAGGATGTGGTGAGGAAGCCAAGGGCTTCCCAGGAGCCGGCCGGGGATGCCCCGCCGCCCCGGCCACCACCCCCACCTCGCCCGGCCCCCCAGGTGACACCCCCTGTGGCCGAAGAGCAGCCGCGGCTGTCACAGTCACCACCAGTGCCACCGCCACCTGTCGTACCTCCCTACCCCCTGCCCTACAGCCCTTCTCCAGGCATGTCTGTGGGCCCCACCGCCCAAGGAGCGCTACAACCAGCCCCCTTCCCGGTGGTCTCCCAGCCCTCCTTTTCCTACAGTGTGCCTTTGGGCCCCACGTTCCCGCCAGCCCAGCCGGGAGCCAGGCCTGCCCAGGGCTACTCCTGGTCCCCACAGAGGAGCATGCCACCCCGGCCGGGCTATCCCGTGGCGCCGACTGGCGGCTCTGCATCTGGGTACCCCTTGGCTGGAGGCCAGGCCCCCAGTCCTGGTTATCCTCAGCAGCAGCCCCCCTACCTCCCAGCAGGAGGTAGACCTCCGTACCCCGCCCAGCCCCCACTGCTGAGTTTCCCAGGACAGCCCCAGCCCTCACGCTCCTCCCAGCCCCACTACCCGCCGGGGCCTGCCCCTCCCTATGGATTTCCACCACCTCAGGGTCCTGCCTGGCCTGGGTATTAGACACCATCCTGGCCGTTGGCCTCTCCCTGCTCACACCTCTACCACAACCTTTGGCCCCTCCACCGCTGAAATTCAAGGTTAAAGTGGAAGCGGAATTGGCACTCCCTGTGGGCTGCCACAGTGTGCCTGAGTTGGAAGGGACCCAGCCTGGTGCATGCAGGCCCCTGAGAGGCACTCACAGCACTCACTGGCCTCTGGCCGCAGGTCCTCCCGGGAGCTCGTCGGTGACTGGCTTAGCTGCCCCAGCCACTCTGGTGCTGCCGGGCGGGAGTTCACCTCTCCGTGGACGTCTGTGTGAGTGTGTACGTGTGATTGTGACTCTGTGCCTGCACTTGCCGGCATCTGAACCAATGCAGAATCTCAGTGCCACCATGGCCATGGGTCTCTGGCCCTCTATTCACCCTTTGCCCCCTCCCCCAGGGTCTGGCATATTCCACGTCGTTCCCACGCCAAGGGGTGCAGCTACTGGTGTCTGTCCACTCTGGTCAAGGACGGCCTGCCCCCGCACCGTGGTGAGGGTTGAATTAGAGAGAGGACAGAATGAGAAAGAACAATGATTTGTAAGTCGCATAAAGCCATAATTTAATAGGCTGAAGTCAGATAAGCTTATCCCATGTCTGCCCCTTTAGTGCCTTGAATCTCATTCGTGAACAGCCCCTCCCTCATCCTCTCCTCCAGCTCTCTGATGTCATCCCCCCCCAATCTCCCTTCCTGAGACAGACATCAAGAGAAGCCCCAACAATAACATCCACATGGTGCTTTCTAGAACACCATCATATGTGTTTGAGTCAGCTTTTTTGCATCTCGTCTTCAGAATGTATGCTCTAAAGGGTAGGGGTTGTGACTCACGCAGCCTCTAGCACATGTGGATTACAAGCATGTCCTGGACTAAAAGTGGTCGCAAGAGACCGAAGCGGGCATGATGAAAGAAGCATTAACTCAGATGTGAACTGGGTCTCTAGGGCAGACCCTGGAGCTGCTACTGGTCAGGAAGTTGTGCCTTGAAATGTCCGCTACTAGCCTGTCCAGCATCTGGTGGGCCTGGGAGTGCTGGAGGCCAAACTTGACCATCTGGTGCCTGCCCCCCGCCCAGCCTGTGTGCCATCCATGGGGATGTGTGATAAGGTGCCAGATGTTGGTTCTTTACCAATTGTGCTTGCTTCTCATAAGTTATTTATGAGGAAAAATCATTAATGGACTGCACTTGTCCAGTGCTTCTGAACTGGATGTATGATCGCCCGGACATCTGTACGATTAATTGCCATAATAAACTTTGATGAATTATAGGTTTGAGAAGGGAAGATGTGGCTGCTTGTGGGGGCATTGATTTCTTTCTCGCCAGCCTTCAGAATACCGTTCTGATTCGTGGCCGCAACATCCCATCTCTCTGCGTATCTTCTCTCAAGCTGCTGCCCCCTCTGTCCCTTTGCCCCAGGGCCGGGCTCTTACAGCACTTCCCTTTCCTTTCCTACTCTTTGGTTTCCCGTTTCAGCCATCTTTGTGCTGGAGCCTGCAGACTTGCCTTGTCCTGGCCCGAGAGCTGTGTCATGTAAGGCCGCAGAACCCCACCAGGGGGCGCCCGGTCCTTAGCACAGCTTGCGAAGTGATGCATTCCTGCCACCTGCTGGGCTGACGAATGTCGGCTCCCCGTGACCCCCGAACGGGAGGTCCACGTGCACGCCCTCTGATCCGGTTTCTGAACGGGGAGCTCAGTGGGCCGCTAAACCAGCTGTGGCGCCAGCCAGGCTTCTGCCATCGCCCTGCCTGCCGCCCTCTCCCGAGCTCTCCTGCTGAGCTGGTTTTCACAAGGCCTGGGATGGAGCATCTTCTGTTTTTCACCGGAAGGGCAGCTCCGGGGAATTGGGAGAGCAGGTTTCTAATGGACCCTCAGGTCACTTTTGCACGTATCAAGGGGAGGTGCCTTGTGGACGAGACTGAAATACTCAAGAGGGCTTTCCACGTGCATCGTCCGCTCATTGAGGCTGCTCCATGGCCCTTTATCCCCAGTACGCAGCAAGAGGAGGACACTGCAGGTGGTGACCCTGTGACCTGGCTGCTCAGCCTGGAGGTGCCCAAGGCCAGACCTCCTCCGTGATGGCCTTTGTGGGATTTAGATACCAGAAGTGGCCAGGTTTTGGGAGGTCACGGCCCCCAGGATGCTTGGGGAGTCTAACCCCACAGCTTTGAGAGTCACTGGGCTCCAGCCACACCTCTGCCGTACCTCACTCCCGCCTGGACTCTGTCCTTGCCTTTGCAAGCGTCCAGGGCTGAGGGACAGGGCTCCAGGGAGCGCTAGAAGGAGCAGGGCTTTGTAGGAAGAAGCTAAACATCTCACCCTGGGATCATAGCTCTGGGTCGGTGCCAGGAAGGTGACAGGGTGTGTAGGGGGCTTCAAGGAGGCAGCATCACTTCCTAAGGGCTTTATTAGGAGCTGCTTCAGTGGGACACTTGGTATTGCGCCCCCTGCTGTCCTTGCTTGCTCTCCTTCCCGGGCTCTGCATGTGGTCACGCAGACAGCAGCTGAACGGGGTCACATGCATTCCCTGTGCCCCCTCCCTGCCCTGCCTCCCCCACTTGGAATCACCCAGCACCCTCGGGCTGACCAAGGGGACCTCCTGCTGCACAGGGACTGCAGGGGGACAGACCCTGTGTGTCAGATTGAGAGCCTCGGAGGTTCCTAGTGCAGTGAGGACACTTCCCTGTTGGTTGGGGCAAGGCCATTTGAAATATCTTCTCAGCTGTCAGATAACATCCATTCCAGTGTCTACCAGGATTCCCGGATCCCTGGATGAGTGACAACTGGAAGCCGATGGTTGCTGGGTGGTTTAAGCGAACTTCTCTCTGGGGCCTCAGTTTCCTTGGCTGTAACCTGAGGAGAACAGGATAGGATCAGGGATTGCACACGCAAATGCCTCCAGGTCAGGCGGTGACATAATTTAAGGAAGTGGCCCGGGGTGTGAGGGCAAAGGGACTGCCCGGCACTGCTCCACCGCTTCTTCCCAGGCAGAAATGTGGCCCCTGGCCCAGTGTGGGCAGAGCACAGTCTTCCCCCCAGGGAAGCCAGGAATCCAGATTCTTACATGAAATCTAATTTTTAACTGTTTGCAACTAATTCTTAATTTCAGGACGTCCTTAGGCCTGACAGATGACACGGCAGGCACGTTTGGCCACTGGCCACCTGTTACTACGCCTGGGCCGGTAACCTCCCAGCCCCGGCAACTCGAACTCCCTCTGATTTTTAAAATGGTGCATCCTTGATTCTAAATTCTAAGAGCATCATTTGGGGTGGCAGAGGGGATGTTTTGAAGCAGCTTCTTGCTTCTCTTCTTCGCCACCAAATTTCTGGGGGAACCAGAAACCCGCTGAGCTAGCTCCCGTGACAGTTTTTTCTTAGAATGGACCAGTTTGGTCAGATCCCTGCAGAGCGCTGGTGATGGTGCTGGTGTCTGGAACACGGGCTTTTTTTTTTTTTTTTCCAGTTCGAAGGGGTATATGCTTTGTGTCCGCTCTATCTTCATTAACTTAGAGAGAAACTGAGGCTGAATTCCTGGGTAAATTGGACCACTGTCCTGGGTGTGAATGGATGGTGGTGGATTCATGGTTGCCTTTTTGTAGCAACTTGGGTGACAGTGGATTCAGGGAAGAGGATGTTAGCTCAATGCCCAGCAGATAAACCCAAGGCATGCAGTGGCCCATTCAGAAATCCCACACAGGCAGATGTATGAGGTGTACAGGAAAATTACCCAGAAGAATCGTGAGGACAGGAATCAAGTCCCAAAGGCAAGATTAGGGCCCAGAAGTTGTGCAGGTCACAGCAGAGCATCCCATACAGCTGAGGTGACCAGCGGCCTGGAGTTGGGTCTACCAGTCATGGTTGGTGGTACAAACAGTTAGGCACTTGACTACTAGCCAAAAAGTTGGCAGTTCGAACCCATCTAGAGGCACCGCAGAAAACAGGCCTGGTGATCTGCTTCCTAAAAGGTCACAGCCTTGAAAACCCTATGGAGCAGTTCTACTCTGCACACATGGGGCCGCCATGAGTCTGAATCAACTCCATGGCAATTAACAACAGTGAAGTAGCTCTTGTTCAGTTGCTCAGCCAAACACATCTCTTTGGAATGCATCACCCAAACCTACCACCACTTGAAAACAACAGTTTTCTAAAGAGGCTTTTCTCCTTAACGAAGCACTTTTTTTTTGGTTTGTCTTTAAGGTAGTCTATAATTGCTTTTAAGCCACTATATGGTGACCACAGTATAAATTAAAACGCTTTTAACAAGAAAGGTGCTGCGAAGAGACCTTTGGCACCTTGCATCCTTTGTCTTCCTTAGGAGTACCCTAAATTGCCTTTGGAGCAATCCCCTTGCCCTGCTAAAATGGGAAGGTAAATGGCATTGCTGGTCCTGGACTCGCAGATCAGTGGCCTGGGCTTGGCCCCCTGGGTGGGAGACCTGGCTGGAGGGTGTCCCTGGGGGAGAGAGCTGAGCAGACTCTTCTGGCATGGTAGCGCTCCACTCTGTGTCCTGGGTCTCCAGCTCCTGTGATTGTGTGAGCACAACCCACCACCCCGCCCCCATGTTCCATTTCCTTGCAGACACTCCCTTTGGCTCATCTGGAGTTGGCTTCTGTGGCTTGGACCAGTGATGTTTGTTGCTATAGAGGATATGGTGTCAAATTGCATGGAAGGAGGCCCATGGGCTTAGTGACCCCTGCCCAGCCTCTCTCCTTGTGAGACTCCTGACTGAGCTCCTAGTTAGACAGCCTTCTCTTGCTTGTCGTTACGGAAGCTTAGGCACCACAGGAATCAGTATAAAATAGATTGTGCTCGACTACTAAGCTAAAGGTTGGCAGTTCGAACCCACCCAGCAGCACCGCAGAAGAAAGACCTGGTGATCTGCTTCCGTAAAAATGACAGCTAAGAAAACCCTATGGAGCAGTTCTATTCCCTAATACATGGGGTGGCCATGAGTCAGAATCAACTCAATGGCAATAGGTTTGGTTTTGTTTTCTAGGATTTCCAAGCAGTGGAAGAGACTATTTCAGCTGAGGGGATTATTTAAACCAAAGGGACGTAGCCAGCCCCATTCTCTGGCTTTTCGGTTAGATGGTTAACTATAATTGGATGAAACTACCTTTACCATAAACTTTTAAATGAATTTACTAGGCACCCCCTTTGTGTAGGGCCCTAGGGTGGCACTGGGGTCCTTTGGGCTTGACAGAGTGCTGCCTACTTTCTCTAGACAGGAAATGGGTGCGGGTGTCACAAGATGGAGGAGATGGTGACGAGGCTTTGGGCGGGGGCTGCCAGGTAAAGCCTGGGTGCTCACGACACACTTTTACTGGCGGCTCTGCTGAAGGTGGTAAGCTGTCTCTATGCTCAGGTCCGCAGCCCCCCGACCACAGTGGCCACAGAGGTGCCCCAGAAGATTCCCCGTCTGGTGGGCATCCCCAGAGGGAGCCACAGGGGTGGACCCTGGAGGGAAGAGGCCGGGACGCTATAGTCCTCAGAGAGTAGATAAAGCATTATTTACAAAGAACATATTAAAAATACATTAGAGAATCACCCCTCCCCACCCAGGCGTGAGCTTCCTTTTCCCTCACTGGGGTCAGAGTCTACTTGGTGTTGCCGTCACAGCAGACGGGGCAGGGTAGGGGGGAGCTGCCAGGGTGTGGGAAAGGGAGGCCCTCCGGACACCCTTGTGTCTCTACTTGGGAGGGCTTCTTGTTTCCGGGCTCTGCCTTTCTACATCTTCCATACTTGGGGAGCCCAGATGAGCTGTTCTGGGGTCTTCAGTGGGCCAGGTTCCAGTGGGGAGATGTAAGAGCTGGCCTGCAACTGCAGGGCAGTGGGTTACGTTTGAAAAGACACCCTTGTTCTGGCATGTTCTGGTTAGGGGTAGAAATCAGACATCATTTCCAAGTGGTGAATGCAGAATATTCTCAGGACTAATAGGTCTGGCTCTTGAGTTTCGGTCCCGGCTCCCAGATCTGTGGGGATGAGAAAGAAATGTGTTAGAGGAGAAACCTCACATCGTGGAGGAGTTTTAGGGAGGTGGGGAGAGCCCCAAGCTCTGGACTCAATCTCAGGGGACAGCTGCTGCCCTTCTGGGTGAGGTGTCTTCTTCCCTCTTGGTAGGTGGGCAGGTCTAAACCAAAAACCAAACACATTGCCATCGAGTGGATTCTGGCTTATAGCGAGCCTACAGGACAGACTAGAACTTTCCAGGGGGTGGCTGGTGGATTTGAACTGCTGACCTTTTGGTTAGCAGCCAAACGCTTAACCACTGTGCCACCAGGGCTCCAGCAGCTCTAGGAGGGTTTTATTCCATCACAAAACTCTTAGGGGCTCTGAGATGGAGATTTTTAAGAGACGATTTTTAAGGCTGATGATTCCTGTGTTCTACTCCAATTGCCAGAGTCCCTGGGTGGTGCAAACTGTTAACGCGCTTAGCTGCTAACCAAGGTTGGAGGTTCGAGTCCTAGAGGCACATCGGAAGAAAGGCCTGGAGAGCTACTTCTCAAAAATCAGCCATTGAAAACCCTGTGGAGCACAATTCTACTCTAACTCACATTGGGTCTCCAGGGGTTGGAATTGACTTGGTGGCAGCTGGTTCACTCCAATTGCCAAATCAGCTCCCATCCCCTAAGTTGAAAACCAAAACCAGTTGCCTTCAAGACTCATGGCAACCTGATGAGTGTCAGAGTAGAACTACTCTATAGGGTTTTCAGTGGCTGACTTTTCATGGCTGTGACCTTTCAGAGGCAGATTGCCAAGCCTTCCTTCTGAGGCACTTCTGGGTGACTTAGAACCCCCAACCTTTCGGTTGGCTGGCAGCCCAGGGCTTAAACATTTGCACCACCCAGGGATGCAACCTCCTGAATGACTGATGTTGGTTCTTTCACTTTCTGCTCAGTGTATATGGTCAGTGTGCTATTCATTCATGGGCAGAGCTGTGCCTCGGGCCAGCCTGGGGTCAGGCTGGAGCCAGCTCACCTTTTACAGCCTCTGAGTCCCGTGCAGATCGTAGTCACTGTCAGAAGAGTTATCAGGCTGGGCAGAAGAACGGTGCAGGGCCCCTTCAAGAGCTGGGGAGAGAAAGGAGGGGCCATCTTCAGACAGGTTATCCCTCTGGCCTCAGAGCCTGGGGTCACGCAGCACAGCCGGTCACAAGATCAGAGGGGTTTTTATGAGCTGGTGGCTCCACTATCTGTTTTGATTGAATCTGCCAAGTGTTCACTAATGATGCTGCACTCTAGGCTCCCTGGGGCTGAATTGTTTTTGCTGGTAAGGGAGCATTCAGTGCAGGCTCCTGCAGGCCACTTTATGGCCCCTTCCTGGCTCGAAGGAATCCGAGGGGCCGCACGTAGCACCAGAGAATCAGGCCCATTAGGCCACAGTGGTGCAGGGGTTAATGGCATCTGATGCATTCTTCTTTTCAGAGGAGTGGCTGGGGCCTCCAGGGGACAGCTGGGGGCCTATTAAGGCTGCATCCCTTTCACGTCCTCCCCCGCCGTGACCTGTGGTCAAGCGGGGCAGTTTGATCCCCCTCCCCTTGGGGCATCCCTTCTCTTCTCTGCTGCAAAGATGCAGCCCGGTCTCCGCACTGCTGCTGCAGCTCTGCCTCCATTCCTAGAGGCCCCAGCTGGTGCTTACCCGGATAAGCCGAGATGTGGGAATTCCTGGGGGGCTGACTGTATTCGTTATCCACGTGTGAGGCTGTGCGGTTCTCGACCTGGGACCGGACAGTTGCCGTGTGGTTGCGATGGAAAGATACTGAGCAAATGCAGGGGACGGTGTCATTAGACTTGATTCTGTCCTCCTCCTCCTTCCCCAACAGCTGCCCCAAACTTTGGTCCTGTTCCCGTTATGCAATGTGGGGGCAAGGCTCCCACACCTTCTTCAGTGCACCCCCTTTCTTCCCAGAGAGGCCCAGCAGCAGACATTAGAGAAATCGGGGCTGGCCAGCAGTCTAATGGGCAGGGTGGGGCTTCACACAGTCAGTGAGTCAATCATCAAACATTTATTGAGCAGGGAGTTGGAATACCAAGGGTAGGACAGACCTCCCAGTACGCCAGAGCTGATGGCCTTCGTATTGCAGAAAAGACAGCAACAGAGAGCCTTCTGGAAGGATTTGGCCGTTGAGCCGGAAAGGGGGGAAGAAGGTGGACTGGGAGGCAGGAAGAGGGTTCTATCCGTTGGGTGGCCCTGGCTGTGGCTGGAGAGGAGAGGGTGAAGACCAGGGGTGGGTGGGCTGGCTGCACCAACATGTTCTAAAACAGATCCTTTAAAGTTGTTCCATGATAAACACACTCCATGATAAAACTAACATGGACAACCTTTCTTAATACAACCCAGCTCTAAGAGATGAACAATGCAAAATGCTCCATAAAAGTTCTGATAAGTCCTGAAATAAAGAACCTTGCTTAGCTTTGGTTAACTCATTATTTTCCAAATCCATTTAATCACAAAATCGTCTTTTCTGAGTTCTCCAATTCTGTTGGCCACCGTACTGGGGGATACTGCCCGAGGAGGCAAAGGCTGCTGGTTAAGTCAACCCCAGAGGTGAGGCAAGAAACAGAGGGGACACTGTGGCCTCTGAGGCTTCTGGGGCAGAAACCACCCAACCACCGGCCCCATCAAGAAGCCTCGGCCTCCCTGGTGTGGGGGTGTCTGCTGACCACAGTCACACCTCGGACAAAGTGGTGGAGATCAGAGGCCTCAAGCGGCCACTAGCTCTGTCTGCAGTCATGGCCTCCTTCCTGAGCCCTGTGGACACCAACTGGGGCCAAGGGAGGACCCTACCTCCAGTGGACACTTACTGTTCTGGTTCATTCCTGTTGGGCCAATCCACTGGCGCTGCTTCTTCTGGCGGACTAGGTGACAAGACAGGAGAGGCAAGTTAGCGTGGGGGCAGGGAGGGAGGAGGCAGCAGGTGCTGCTGGTCCTGCCACCTGGAGTCTCTTGGTACCTCAGTTTCCTAACTTGCTTGGGAGGTTGAAGTGGAGCCATCCAGCTCCGAAGCCGTGGCTGAGGAGGGTGCAGAGGTGGCTGGTTCTCCAGGAGATGCGGCCCCAGGGTTTTAGAACAAAAGGGAAGATCTTCAAGGGCATCAGGGACCAGCTAACACAGTCCACCTCTGGGTTATCTCTTTTTAGCCTCTCTAATCCCACCTCCTTGTCTCTAAATGATTTTCTCCTGCCTTCTACAAGGCAAGAATAACAAACGACTCCCTACATTCACAAGGCGTGCAGTCTCCCACTTGGTAGATGAGGAAACTGAAGCTCAGAGAGAGGAGGAAGCTCAGTCACAGCTCCGGTAGCTGGTAAGTGGTGGAGCTGGGCTGGACGCGTGTCTCCTGACTTCAGAGCCCGTGCCTGTGACCCTCTAAAGAATGGCCACACCCTCCCTTTGGTCCAGAGTCGGTCTCAGCTGGGCCATAGATATGGTGAATCAAGAATGCGTTTATGGTTTCTGTTCCATTGGACAGGAGAAGGGCAGGGCTGGGTGGTGAAGCAGAATGGCCTCCACCCAGCTCTCTGGGCAGGACCCTTCCTCTGTGGGGCTTGAATGCAGCTTCTCTAGTCTGCTCACAGAGGGAAGGGGCACAAGGGGTCGAAAGTGAGTGGCTCAGGGCACAACCACCTACATTTCTTCACCAGCTTCTTATAGGCGAGAGGGCCACACACGACCAGCAGCACGGCCAGGAGCAGGAGGGCCAGGATGATGCTCATCACAGTGCCGGCGCCCAAACCCGCTGGGCGCAGGTCCTGGCCTAGGGAAGGAGAGGAGTCAGGTCAGGCCCAGCCCTGTGGGTGTAGACACTGTCTGTTCAGAGCCTTCCCCAATCACCCTTCTTCCAGGAATTCACCAGCGTGCGTGGAAGGCAATTATCTATCTATTGGCTGGTCTCTCCATCCATCTCTAGACTTCTCTGCTACTCGTTTGTTCGTTCACCTTTCATCATCTAGTAATTGATCATCCAACTATCATTTGCCACTCTTGTGGCAACTTTCTACCATTTGTCAGTTACTTATGCCTGATCGCCTTGCCATCATATACCAATATACCAGTTGCCAGCCAGCCATCTGCTTATCTATTTACCCATCTGTCTTTCCATCCATCCATTCTCCATTCATCTATTCATCATCCATCCTTCCTTCCATCCATTCATCCATCCATCCATCCATCCAACCATTTCTTTTATTCCTTATTCAGTCACCGCCCATCTGTCCATTAGTGTAGCAATATCTACCATCTATCCCTTGATTTTCTATCTTCCATCCTGCCGGTAAGCGTTCTTTAATCTATTAGCTGCTTATTGCCTGGTCCAGTCTCTGTTTGTTGTTCATGCTCACTGCTGTCTGAGTGCTCTCACCCTCCCTCCCCTCATCAATCATCTTCTCATCCTTTCCTGGGTTTCTAGGGCTCTGTGTCATGCTCCTGGGACCTGTTCTTCAGAAACAGGGAAAGTCCAGCACTGCCCTCAGCCCACTCTACTGCCCCAACTCACATGTGACAAACACCCTTTTGCAGTAGAATTGTTTCTTGTGAAGCTCATGGCACTGGGACAGCTTCTTCTGGGGACAGATGAGCCCCAGGGAGGTCTTCTCACTGGCATCCAGCTGCCGATAGGTATTGACGCCGCCACACTGCTGCTCCTGGCACACCTCCTCCCACCGTGCTGTGTTCTTGGCTGGGAAGCTGTCGCACAGGGCTGCCCATTGCCCACCCTGGCGCACCTCCACGGTGCCTTCACACGTGCCGCGGCCCCCCACCAGGCGGCTCTGCACCTTGGGCTGGAAGTCTGGGAAGGGGAAGCAATTGGATAAGAGAGGGCAGACTGGAGGCAGCTCCTCGGCAGCCTGAGCCTGTCCTCCTCCACTGGTGAAGCCAGAGCCTGGCCAGGGCCAGTTTTGCACAGGCAGACACCGTGTGGGACCACCAGGACCGGGCTGCCTTCCTTTCTGCCCTTCCTTCCTACCTAGCGTCCCCTCTGGCACTTCTCCTGACCGAGCTCTGTATCTGGCCGCTCTGGGCAGTGGCCAGCAGACATCCTAGACGCAGCAGCATGGGCACCTCCAGTAAGGAAGCTGGCAGGGGGCTGATGCCCGTTGGCAGTGTTAGCAGGGAGCTGGCCCCGACCCAGTCAGGGGTAAGAGAAGGCAGTGGAAAGAGGCTCTACCTGGTCTAGCGCCCCTTAGAAACATTGTCTTATTCCCTTACTCCTCCTTGGGAAGAGACGGGGCTTTTCAGAAGAGGGAAACTGAGGCCCAGGCATGGGAAGCACCTCCTGCTCTGAGTCCTGGACAAACCCCTGGAATCCTGCTTTCCCAGACCCAGCACCTCAGAGGTAGGCTTTCATTGACTTGGGCCTGTTTCCGCGTCAGGGTGGGGCCTGGATTCTCTTCCAGGACAATCAGCCTATCTGAGGCCTGCACATGCTCGGTTGAGAGGGAGTGTGCCCTCACCAGCTTTGTCCAGTTTCCATAGCAACATCCACCTTCAAAGCCCCAGTGATCTTCTGCTTAGAGGAAACCAAAGGCAAGACCCCAGCTGAGAGGGGAGTGGGGCTGAAAACCTGCCCCCACCCCCTCATCAGGCCAAGGGATCCTGGGGGGCTGCTTCTGGCTGGAGGGGGCAACTTTTTGCTAATTCACACAAGGGGTTCCTATGGCTGGGGGTGGCCCTGCTTACAGACAGCAGAGTGGTCCAGAGCAGCACTTCCTAGACTCTACAAATCATAGGGCGTCTTGCGAAAATGCAGATTTGGATTCCTGGGTCTGGGTGGGGCCTGAGACTCTGCATTTCTTCCAGATGATGCTGGTGCTGCTGCTGCTGGTCCAGGACTACACTTTGAGTAGCCAGGGCTCAGTGATACTGCTTGAGTTGAAATCCCACCTCATGCTCTATGACACCGTACAAAAAAATTTAACCTCACTGAGCCTCAACGTCCTCATCTGGAAAACAGGGATAATAATATCATCCACCTTTTAAGGTTGTTGTGAAAATTAAATGAAATAACACACTGGAATGGTCCCTGGCACAAAGTACACTCTCAGTAAGCATTATTATCGTCTGGACAAGAGTCGCTGGGTGCCGCAAGTGGTTGAAGCAATCTCTCCTCCCATCTGCTTATGGCTGGGACCTTCCTGTGGCGAGAAGCCCCCCTGGGACCTAGTCTGCGTTCTCTCCCTCTGCCCTGGTCCAGAGCCCCAGGCAGACAGGCCAGGCCTCCTGGGGCCCCAGGGGCTGCTCACCATCTCTCCAACCTCATCTCTGGGGATTTACCTACGGCTGCTAACCAAAAAAATGTCTGCAGTTTGAATCCTTCAGCCACTCCTTGGAAACCCACTGGGGCAGTTCTACTGTGTCCTCTAGGGTAGCTGTGAGTCGGAATTGACTCGATGGCAACAAGTCTGGTTTTGGTTTGGTCTGCTATGAAGAGGAGTCCTGTTGGTGCTCCAGTGCTAACGTAAACATTGGTGGTTCAAACCCATTCAGTGACTCCACAGCAGAAAGACCTGGCGATCTGCTCCAGTAAAGATTACAGCCTAGAAAGCCCTATGGGGAAATTCTACTCTGTGACATAGAGTCTGTATGAGTCCAAAATCAACTTGATGGCACCTAACAACAATAGCTCCTATGAGGCTCGTGCCCCTGACATGCTGCATCCTGCTCTGGCCCTTGGCGCAAGCCTAAAGAGAACCTTGTCATTTCCTCCACCAGACCCTCGCTCCTTCCCTCCTTCAAAACCCATGTGTAGCCTTGCTTCTTCCTGGAAGCCCTGCTGGCCCTACCTCCCCACTGGGCAGCTGAGCCAGTGGCTCGCTGGGCTCATTCAGTCTTACTGGCAGGGGTTCCCAAGGCGCTGTGCGCGTGTGTGTCCTGCCCCGTGTTCTCCCACAGTGCCTGGACCCTGTGTGGCAGAAAACCAGCCTTGACTGACCCTATGGGGATGCTCTGACCATGACGGCTCCCCGGGCCCCAGAACCACTCAGGTCCTGGCCAGGTCTCACTCACCTGAGCAGATGAGGCCGATAGCTGTGCCGCGCTCCCAGGGCTGGCGTTTTTGGAAGCACTGCTCCAGGGAGGCACAGCTGGCATTCTGGATCTCCCATTGCATCCACTCCTGGCGTGTGTCCGGCGTAGCCTTTAGCGTGGCCTCTGGCAGATGCCTCAAGAACGAGCCGCACCGAAGGTGTCTACAGATGAGGTCTCCCAGGCCCTGGGTCAGGTTCTGGGTCCCATTGCTGATGGTGCCGCCCAGGCTGCCATGGTAGAACTCCACCACGCCAGCACAGCTCAGGCCCCCTGGCCCTTCCACCAGCTGCAGCCTGGGGGGTGCTGGGACAAAGGAGAGGGGCAGAGGGGAACGCGGGCCTGAGTGGTGATGGACCCAGCAGCAGAAGCCTTCGCCCTTAACCATGCTACACACCTTGCTGTTTGGCCCCAACACATGGACAGATGAATGACTGAACCTTGGGAGGTAGTGAGTTTCCCATCAGAGGGAGGTCCCAAATATCGCATAGGAAATAAGAAACCAAACCCGATGCTGTCGAACTGATTCCAACTCATGGCGACCCCATGGGTTACAGAGTAGAGCTGCACTCCATTGGGCTTTCTTGGCTGTAATCTTTATAGAAGCAGATCGCCAGGACTTTCTTCCAAGGTACCGCTGGGTGGGCTCAAACTGACAACCTTTAGGTTAGTGGTCCAGCACACACTCTTTGTGCCACCCAGGGCTCTTGCATAGGACATACTTATAACAAAAAAAATCCCCTGTTTGTTTGAAATTGTGTTGTGCATAGGATCGCTATGAGTGAGAACCGACTCCACCACACCCAACAACAACAAACAACATTGGAAATTCAAATTTAACTGGCGTCTTGCACTTTTATTTGCTATATCTGACAGCTCTACCCCGGTGGGGGCTCGGGGTTCTCTTACCTGTGGGCTCCGGAGTGGTGGTGGGCGGGGGGCTTGTAGGTAGAGGTGCTGCCGTTGTTGGCTCTGAAATGAGATACCCAGGTGAAGGAGGGGCAAGAGGCCCAGGGCGGGAAGAATGAGGTGGGGGAGGAGGGAAGACTGTGGGGTGGGGGGCAGCCGGCAGTGTGGGGAGAGGCCCGAGCTCACAATGTAAGCTTCACATTAAGTCCACTTGGCCCAAATATTGTCTGTATGCCTCACAACAGTGCTGTGAGGTGGGCAGTATCCACCCTATTTTACAGATGGGAAGATGGAGGTTCAGAGGGTAGCAGCTGCAGACCAAGTCCTCGACTTTTCCCATTCTACTAGACCAGCACCCCTGCGGCCTTCCCCCTCCACTTCCCCCACTGGTGTGTGTGATCGGGGAGGGATGTTGTGAACCGGGCACCCCCTCCCACTGCCGGCCCAGCCTCCTCTGGGCAGGTGACCAGGTTGAGGTTGCCATGTGGTAGAGCTGGTACCCACCTAAGCAGATCAGTATCAGAGTGCGGCACGGGCTTGCCCCTTGGCTGGTGCAGTTAGAGAAGGACCCTAAGGATCCATGGCAGAGGACCTTGTTCTGTGTGCTGCTGAAGAGCGAGAGGGCCAGCTCCAAGGCCCTTCCACATCTCAGCTGCGGGCAGAGGTTCTTGGCCAGCCTGGTGGCGTCCTCCTCGTGGTACCGGCTGTGGCCCCAGCTCTCGCTGCACACGGAGAGCCACCTGTCCAGGTGACGGACCTCTAGCCGGCCCTGGCACCGTGAGCTGGAGTTACTCAGCCTTATCTGGATCTCTGGGGGCCAAAAAGGTGGCGGGATTGGGGACAGTGAGACTGGGAAGGGCCCTTCACTGGGGCCCCCATTACCTCCCCCCACCCCCACGATCAGTCCAGCCAGGCTCCCTCCTGCCCACATGCTGCCTTCGCCTCCCCTCGCCTTCCTCCTGTCATCTTTGTCACTTCTGAGCACGGCAGGGGCTTCCTAGGAACTCGGGCTGGGCAGCTCCTGACCCAGGTGGCTGCAGGAGCTGGGCCCAGGGTGGGGACAGTGGCAGGGGGTACTCCAGATTCCAGAGCCAGAGAGGGACGTGGAGCAGTGGGTATGGGGTTCTCAGCACCCACAGCCCAGCAGAACCGCCCACCTGCCCCACTCTTCTCGGTTTTGTTTCAGTAAAGCTGACATGGGCTCCCATGCCTGGTTTTTAAAAATATTTTTTTAACTTTTTAAATTAATTTGATTGAGGTACAATTTACATACAGTGAAATGCATTCATTTTAAGGGTATAGTTCAAGGGGTTTTGACAAATGTATACACTCAATTAACCACCACCATAATCTAGACATAGAACATTTCCATCACCCAGAAATTTCCCTCATGCCCCTATGCAGTCAATTTCCCCAAGGCCAGGCCCAGGCAACCACTAATCATCTTTCTGTCACTAGAGATGAGTTTTGCCTATTCTAGAATGTCATATATATCGAATCATATAGTATGTTGGGAGCCCTGGTGGTGCAGTGGTTAAGAACTGGGCTGCTAACCAAAAGGTCAGCAGTTCGAATCCACCAGCCGCTCCTTGGAAACCCTATGGGGCAGTTCTACTCTGTCCTATAGGGTCGCTATGAGTCGGAATCGACCAGGTGGTTGGTTAATAGTAACTTGTTGCTGTTGGTAGTTGCTATAGAGTCAGCTCCGGCTCATGGCAACTTAATAACAGAATGAAACATTGCCTGGTCCTGTGCGATCCTCACAATCTTTGGTATGTTTGAGCCCGTTGTCACAGCCAGCGTGTCAATCCATCTCGTTGAGGATTCCCCTTGTTTTTGCTGACCTTCTACCAAGCATGTTGTCCTTTTATAGTGACCGGTCTTTTCCTGAAGATGTGTCCAAAGTAAGCAAGATGAAGTCTCACCACCCTTGTTTCTAAGAGCAGTAGGGCTGTACTTCCTCCGAGACAGATTTGTTTGTTTTTCTGGCAGTCCGCCGTATATTCAATACTCTTTGCCAACACCATAATTCAAATGTGTCAATTCTCTTTCTGCCCTTCTTTTTCATTGTCCAGCTTTCACATGCATATGCACACCTAGGATGCACTTTTTCCTTTTTTTTGGTCTGTCTTCTTTTGTTCAACATGTTTTGAGGTTTATATTGTGGCATGATGGTTTTTCTTTTTTATTGCGGAATAATATTCCATTGTATGGATCCGCTACAATTTGTTTATCCATTCACCGTTTGGGTTGTTTCTACTTTTTGGCTACTATGAGTAAAGCTGCTCTTGGTATTTGCGGACAAGTCTTTGTGTGGACACGTTTGCAACTCTCTTGGGTAATATCTAGGAGTGGAATTGCTGGGTCACAGGTAGGTATATGGCATGTGTGATTTTATAACGCTCGATGAAGGAAAATATAAAAATATATACTCATTTGTATTTGCAAAAAGAGACTCTGGAAGAGTATGCAAGAAAGTATTAAAGTTGTTATTGCTGGGTGTCGGGGGTAGAGAGACTGGACAGATGGGGGACAGAGGTGAAAATAATCTTTAATGTGGATCTTTTTGTATTTTTAAAATTTTTGAGCCAGGCGGTTGTATTACCTGCTCAATAAGTTAAACATTTTTAAAAAGTCTCTTCTGAGTGATTCTGAGGTGGATGTTTTTCCTGTTGAGAACTGCTGGTCAGGCTGCTGTTTCTTCTCACAGATGAGGACACTTAGGGCCCAGAGCGTATGACTGGGACTCGCCGAGTTCACTCAACTAGTTAGAGGCAAAGCAGGGTAATCCTAGCACCTAACATAGGCAGCGCCACCCGTCTGTCAGTTTGCTGTACTGTGGTGACTTTTGTGTTGCTGTGATGTTGAAAGCTATGCCTCCTGTATTTCAAATACCAGCAGGGTCACCCATGGTGAACAGGTTTCAGTGGAGCGTCCAGACTAAGGCAGACTAGGAAAAAAGGCCTGGCGATCTACTTCTAAAACTCAACCAGTGAAAACCTTATGGATCACAATAGAACACTGTCTGACTCCCTTGCTTTGGACACATCCTCAGGAGGGACTCAATCACTGGAGGGGGACATCGTGTTTAGTGAAGTAGAGGGTCAGCGAGGATTAGGGAGACCCTAAGCGAGATGGATTGGCACAACAGCCACAAGGATGTACTTGAACAGGCTGCCGATTGTGAGGATAATGCAGGACTGGGCAACGTTTCGTTCTGTTGTATACAGGGCTTCGAACCAATTCAGATTGGTTCAATCATGGCTGATGAAGTAAAACCAGAAAAGATCCAAATTTTTAAAATTTAGGTGATCTGGGCTGGTTAACAAGAAAAATTATGGGTCGGAGCCCTAGTATGGGAGACTCAAAAGAGTTATAGCGCGCCCTATCAGGGGCCTGATACTGGAGCCTGGGTTATTGCAGGACTGTGGAGAGCGACGCACATTCAAAGTGGTGTAGTCAGCCGCCATCTTTGAGTGGGGCACTTCTGTTTCTGACTCTGCTTATCAAGAGATTTGGTTGCTATGCAACACACATGCTGCCCTTGTTTTCTAAGAGGAAGATTAAGTTTCTAGCAGGGCTTAAAAACAAACAAAAACACCCAAACCTGTTGCTGTTGAGTTGATTCCGACTCATAGCAGCCCTACAGGACAGGAGCACCTGGTGGATTTGAACTGTCGACCTTCTGGATAGCAGCCGTAGCTCTTAACCGCTGTGCCATCAGGGTTTCCTAGCAGGGCTTAGGCCCGTAATTTTTCCTGTTCTGGTTACCATTCCGGTTCACCCACATTTTAAAAATTTGGATCTGTTCGAGTTTTACTTCATTGGCCGTAACTGAACTGGGCAGAACGAGGTCGAAGCCCTGGTTGTACGTAAGGTCATCATGAGTCAGAGTAGACCCAACGGCGGTTATTTATCATCTACCTCTATCTATCTGTCTGTCTATTATCTGTCAATCATCTATCTGTCTATCTATCTATCATCTCTAATATTTGCAGACTGCTTTGCAGGCTTTCTCCCCAGTAAGCTGACTCACTGAATCCTCACCAGGGAAAAGATTTTATGCCCATTTTACAGGGGAGGAAATTGGGACTGAGAGAGCAACTTGCTAGGGCTGGGAGCTTGAAGGCAATGCAGGTTTCCAGGAGCTGGCCTCAGGCCCCTGTGGCCTCTCTGGTGGCCCGGTGGCTTCATGAGACTTCGCAGCCACAATTCCCCAAAATACGTTCAGCATGATGTTAACACAGGTGATGCGGAAAGAGAGGCCTGCAGCGAGATGACTTGGGGACCTGCCGAGTTAAATGCTTGAACAGGTTTCCTCACTGCAGGACTCCGCGGGGCCTTTTCTGCACTGGGAATAGTCTCCAACGGGTAAGACAGTGTCACCTACCCTTTGTCCAATGTGTTCCGTAGAACCCCGTTTGGGAAACACTGGCCTCTAGGATTAAAGTCCCACCTCAGAGGGTGGCCATTCAATGTGCTTTATAATCTGGTACCGCCTCTCTCTGCAGCCTCAGCTGCAAACGCCTTTGAGTCTGGCAGGACTGGTCAGGTGATAGGTGCGTGTACCGGCTGGCGCGTTTCTGCGGGTGGTGTAAGTGGGTCATAATAATAATTATCATGAGCATTAGCATTTGTGTGGGAGCTTTATAGCCTACAAAAGGCATCCACCTGCACACGGGCATCCTAAATGTGTGTGTGTGTCTGCCTATCAGTCTCTGTGTGGGGGGTTCTCTCTGGTGGGGGTAACAGCTTCTTAACCTGCAGGTCTCCCTGCAGCCTGCTGGACCCCCATCCCCACTTCCCTCCTCCCCCCCTGCAGGCCTCTGTGCGGCTCTTCCTTACCTGAGTCCTCCCTGATGAAACCTCCGAGGCAGGAAGTGACTGCAGAAGGGAGATAGGAGGGTCAGGAAGTGAAGCCTCCCTCCTTCTCCCTTCTCCCCGACCCACACACGCCCACGGCTCGAGCAACGGCCTTTTCGGCCTGCCCCCACTCTACCCCACACACCATCTCGGGGCAGAGATTTCCATGCTATAGGTTGTAACCCCTAAGTAGGTCATGAAATCAATCCAGTGGGTTGCAGCCATTGATTTTTTAAAAAAACGAAATGGACTAGAATAGACAATGTCAAAACATGCGGTGCATTGTCAGGGCGGGTATCACTTCTTGTGCATGGGGTTGTGATGTAAAAACGTCCTGTGCTTTGCTTTCGATCAAAACAGTTTGAACAGCACAGTGCTAGAGAGATAAGACAGGAGCCAGGAAGGGATCCTAAGGCATGTGCTGTTGTCTGATATTCCCAAGGCTGGATAAGAGTGACAGCAATTTCTCTCCAGAGGAGGAAATCGAAGCTCCGAGTGATGGAAGGACTCGCTCAAGGTGGCACAGCCAGTTGGTGACAGAGCCAAGACCACAATCCCCTGAACTTGGGTTTGTAGGGAACCGACCTTCCCCTGGCCTGGCTCCTGCCAGGGCCCATTAGATGGGAAATGGGCCATTTGGGAGGTTCTACCTCCTTTCACCACCCATGATGGCCATATTTCAGACTAAGACAGACTAGGAAGACAAGCCTGGCAATCTACTTCCGAAAATTATCCAGTGAAAACTCTATGGGTCACAGCAGAATATTGTCCCAATATAGTACTGGAATATGAGCCGTCTGGGTTGGAAGACACTCAAAACACTCACTGACTCAACAATGGACTTGAGCTGTGGTGGTTTGCGTGTTGCTGTGATGCTAGAAGCTCTGACACCAATTTTTCAAATACCAGTACCCCAACGATCATGAAGATGGCACAGGACCAGACAACGTTTTGTTCTGTTGTACCTGGGATTGCCATGAGTCAGCAACTAACAACAATAATAACTGATTGTTGTTGTTAGGTGCCGTCAATTCGCTTTCGACTCATAGCAACCCTACGTACTACAGAACGAAACACTGCCTGGTCCTGCACCATGCTTACAATCGTTGTTATGCTTGAGCCCATTGTTGCAGCCACTGTGTCAATCCATCTCGTTGAGGGTCTTCCTCTTTTTCGCTGACCCTCTACTTTACCAAGCATGATGTCCTTCCCCAGGAACTGGTCCCTCCTGACAACACGTCCAAAGTATGTAAGAAGTAGTCTCGCCATCCTTGCTTCTAAGGAACGTTCTGGTTGTGCTTCTTCCGAGACACATTTGTTCGTTCTTTTGGCAGTCCATGGTATATTCAATATTCTTCGCCAACACCACAATTCAAAGGCGCCAGTTCTTCTTTGGTCTTCCTTATTCACTGTCCAGCTTTCACATGCATATGAGGCGATTGAAAATACCACAGCTTGGGTCAGGCACACGTTAGTCTTCAAGGTGACATCTTTGCTTTTTAACACTGTAAAGAGGTCTTTTGCAGCAGATTTACCCAATGCAATGCATCTTTTGATTTCTTGACTGCTGCTTCCATGGGTGTTGATTGTGGATCCGAATAAAATGAAATTCTTGACAACTTCAATCTTTTCTCAGTTTATCATGATGTTGCTTGTCTGTTGATTATTGAGTCGTAAAGATTACAGCTACTAACCAATCAATGCCCATGGAAGCAGCAGTCAAGAAATCAAGCAACGCATTGCATTGGGCAAATCTGCTGCAAAAGATCGCTTTAAAATGTTAAAAAGCAAAGATGTCGCTTTAAGGACTAAGATGCACCTGACCCAAGCCGTGGAGTTTTCAGTAGCCTCATACGCACGTGAAAGCTGGACGATGAATAAGGAAAATCGAAGGAGAATTTATGCCTTCAAACTATGGTGTTGGCGAAGAATATTGTATATACCATGGACTGCAAAGAAGAACGAAAAAATCTGTCAAAGAACAGCCAGAATGCTCCTTAGAAGCAAGGATGGTGAGACTGTTTCACATGCTTTGGACACATTATCAGGAGGGATCAGTCCCTGGAGAAGGCCATCATGCTTGGTAAAGTAGAGAGTGGGCGAAAAAGAGGAAGACCCGCAATGAGATGGATTGACACAGTGGCTGCAACAATGGGCTCAAACATAGCAACCGCTGTGAGGATGGCTCAGGACTGGACACTGTTTCCTTCTGTTGCACACAGGGTCGCTGTGAGTCAGAACTGATTCCATGGCGCCTAACAACAACAAAGATTACAGCCAAGAAAACCAAACTCACCATGGTGGACAGGTTTCAGCAGAGCTTCCAGACTAAGAAAGATGAGAAAGAAAGGGCTGGCAGTCTACTCCAGAAAATTAGCCAATGAAAACCCTACGGATTACACAACATTGTCTGAGACTTTGACTTCCTTACTTTGGATGCACCGTCGCGGGGACTGACTGCTGGAGAAGGACACCATGTTTGGTAAAATGGAGGGCCAGCGAGAAAGTGAGAGAAACCTTCAATGCGATGGTTTGGCCTCAACAACGGACTCGCACACCAACGAATATGAAGATGG